AAGCACTTTAAAATATTGACCTGGCAACTTTTGTCTGCTGTGTGGAATATTGTTGCCATTGTCTTTTCATTTATATTAAATGAAAGCCTAAGTATCTTCCACTCAAATCTTTGTATGTCCTGTTGTGGCACAGAGATGACGCTGAGTTCTCAAAGGTAATCAGAGCACAGGCTCTGGCAGCTCCCATCAAGCTGGTAAAGCTGGTATGGGCCCAGTCACAAAGTGTACTCTGTCTGAGGGGGAACATGGCTCAGTGGGGGAGTGTTGTTACCAGGCAGGCTGAAGGCTCATGAATCGTGCATCCAGAGCAGCTCTCAAGTAGGTTTTGCAGCCTGATAGCTGCACACAAGCCTGAGTCTGTACCAGTGGAGGGAAGAATACATATGCTGGGGGAAAAGAAACCCCGCTGGTTTTCAAAGAATGAATTATCAAATGAAGACATTACCCTCAGGGAAATGTGTATGAAATACTAAAATGCACTAATTTATCAGAGTTGGGGCTTTATCGGCAACACCGCCTCAAGAGATACATTTCAGGAAAAAATGGGCATGTCAGTGATGGATAAAATGCTAGCCTTGGATTCAGGAAGAAATGTGTTCACACAGCCGGTATTTACTGGCTGTGTGATCTCACTGAGCCTCAGTTTCCTAATATGTAAAACAGCTATTGCCGAATGTATCTAACAGGGTTGGTAGTTGTCAGGCTCAAAGTAGTTAATGAGTGCTTTGTAAACCTTAAGACACTATAAAACATTCCTTTGTAGAGGTGAGAGGTCTGCTAGTAGTGTACGTTACATATACTTTCAGACTTTTTTGATGTATTGGTCAACTGTGCTGATTTTTTTCCTCTTTTTCCTTTTTTGCTTTAAAAAAGATCTGAGATAATATATATAAGATGCTTTGTAAATTATAAAGTACTATATTAGTCATTATATAAAAAGCATATGCTTATTTTTCTCCAAAGACTAGAGAGAGCCATATGTCTCCATGGTTAAAAAATGTTTGCCATTTAATGTTACAAAATACATTCAGGGGGAAAAAAACACTATTCTCACTTTAAGAAATAGCAGATTTCTTTATGAGGAGTTGCACGTGTCATGTACGGCTGTAACCTACCATGTTTTGGGCTACTAGAAGCAATTACTTTTCTGTAGTGAACGTGTCAGTATGAGTTTATTTTTCCTCCTAATTTTGCTTTATTTACTCATTAAAAAGCCATTTAAAGTGCATTGAATTTTTGCTTGAATTTTTAAAAAACTATTTCAGTAACGGAAAAGAGGTGACAGATGAGAATCTAGGAGGGTGCCATAGAAAGGCAAGTGCACATAAAGGAGAGACCTCAGCTCATGATATTTATGATGATGGGCAGGTTTCATCATCTGTGTGAACTTCAGTTTCTTGGTGGTATCTCAGATGTAGAGCTAAAAGGGACCTTAGAAGTCATTTGGTCTGACCCTTTCGTTTTCCAGGTACAGAAAGTGAGGCCCACAGGTTCAACAATTTGTCCAAAACCACTCATGCAAAAGACAGAGCTGGTGCTTGAACCTGGGGTATTCGGACTCTGTGGCCAGGGGGGTTTTGATTCTGCGTTTTTTCTGAGTGTTTTTCTTTTTTTGTACTATTTTGGTATGTAAAAAAGAGGCTGGAATGATAACCAGAGTACTTGCCTCAAGAAGGTTGTGAGGCTAAAATGAGATAATAGGACATGTGACATTCTTTGCAAGCCTGAAAGTGATAGATAAAGGTTAGTTTTTATTATCAGTGTTTAAAAATAAAATCAGTGTTTTCATGGAAGAGCTGTACTGAGTAGCTAAACTGGCCTTTGGAAATAATTTACACACAGAGTCTGAACGAGGTATCTCTAATCCAAACCAAGTATCTTTTTTTTTTTTCATCCTTGTAAGTATCTGTTTTTTCCTAAATTTTTTTTGACTGAAACTAAAAAACATTGAAGCCAAAGATCAGTTATCCAGAAGTTTAAGGCAGTAATAACCACTCTCACCTCCCCCAACAGGGCTCAGGGTGACCTGGGTCCAGATGCCACCTCAAACCCTGACTAACTGTCTCTCAGCAAGTCATTCATCTCAAGAGTCTCAGCTTCTTTGACTGTAAGATGAGAGTTGGATTCGATGGCCTCTAAGGCCTCTCCCAGTTCTAAATCTGTGATTCTTTGATCCTCCGATATCCATTTGCTTTCATTTTGATTGTCAAAGTTCTTTGGGTTAATTTGAGCCATGATTCTAGACTGCTTGATTCCTAAAAAAGAGTATCAGACATTTTATTGCTTTTATACCATTAGAACAATAGCTAGCGTATTTGGCCATTTTAAAATAAATGAGATCTTATCTGTTATATCAGTAGGAAATGTTGTGGAACTGATTATTCTAACAACCTGTTTTAAAAATTGGGTCCAGTTCCTAAGCAGCTACTCAGTAACAAATAAGCTGCTTACAAAAGGAAGCTTACTTTTTGGGTTCTTAAGACAATTGTGTAACATCATGTAAACACAGAAAAAATGTCACCATTCAAAGTAAAATATACTATTTAGACAGGTACTTTTTGTTTTAAAAGATAAAATATAAACATCATTTATTGAAGACTATTACTTCCAGATTTTTAACACCAGATAGACACTGGCAAAGCAAGAGAGCATTTTTTAATGGTAAGTACGTAGGTTGTTCCAGGTACCTTGCCAAGTCCTAGGAATACAAATACTAGCCAAAAGACAGTGCCTGCTTCAAGGAGGTTACATTTTAATGGGACAGAATAAGAGGGAGGAAGGTGAGAAATTGGGCAGAACCGAGTTTGAAGGGGTATGGGGGCACTTCCTTAAATGGAAGTTTCCAGGGAGGAACTCACCAGTTGGAAGAGGCAGAGGCAGAAGGCTTGAAGGTTTTGCCAGCTTCAGAAGCCTCTCTGGCCGTGGTGAAGCAGCCAAGGAGGCCTGGCGGGAGCCTGCTTTTGTTGTTCACAAAGTCACTGTATTCTCACCTTCAGTCTTGCTGTAAAACATATACATATATATATATATATATATATATATATATATATATATATATATATATTCTTAATAAATGAAAATGGTTTATAATTTTACTACTGAGCTCAAAGGTGCTTAGAACTACAGGTGATGATTTTCTTAACTCAGAAGTAAGAAGTCACAACATCTTAGTTTTTTAAATAACATGGCTTACTGTGGCTTCAGAGAGAATCTTTGTCTTGTGTTTCCTAGGTTTCAGTTAATAAAAAGACTTTATGGAAGGGGGATTATCAATTATCCATTATAGTTGATGTAATGCACCAGAGGCTTACCTGTATTTCAGTTTTGTTCTCTGAATGAGCAGATCAGAGGTTGACTTTAAAATTTTTGTAGACAGAGACACTATTTAAACCTATAAACATGTCATTCAGAACTCTGTATTCCAGCTACGCTGGCCTATTGACTATTGCCCTTATATAGCATTCCGTCTCCTGACTCAGTTCCTGACCTGGAACAGCCATTCCTGTGGTCTTGGAACGTTCTTCACCTCCCCTCTGCCTCTCGGAACCTCCATTCTCCCTTCTAGTGCATGGCACTTTCTACAATAGACCTTTTCTGATTTCCCCAGTGATTAATGCCCTACCCTCCTCCCACCATTGTTTATGTATGTTGGATATAGCTTATCAATGTGCACGTTGTTTGTTCCCCTCGTTAAGGGGAGAGGGGGCCCCCGTTGTCTTCTTTTCCTCAGTGTTGGCGCGCAGTAGACTACTAGCTCTTAATTTAACTGTATGGGCAGTATAGTAGTGTATGACTGACCCCAGTGGCAGGAGTGACTAAGGCTGTTGGATCTCTTGAGCTCCCAAGTTCTGAGTTGAGTGGGCAGTGCTGATTGGATGTATGCACCGTTTGACATTAGAACCCGTGGAAGTGGAAGGCCATCGGGTTGTCTGCCTAAGGAAGGAAGAACTAGCCTAGGTCTGAAATGGAGCAAGCAGGTAAAAGCTCCCTCCAGTTAGTACTACGGAATGGGCTTATGAGCATCCCTTGCATTTCCCACTTGGGTAAGATGGAGACCTGGTGTTAATTTTAAAAATGCATCCATACATGTGTGGATATGTAAAGCTCAGGCATACATGCATATGTACGTATACAAACAGTATAGGGAGCTGAGAATATGAAGACAAAAATGAGAGAGTCCTTGACCTCAAGGAGCTAAGTCATGTGTGAAGGTGCTTGGGTTACCAGCCTTGGAGGCAAGAAGCCACCTCAGATACTTGACTGACACTTGTCTGTGTGACCTTGGAGCCAGTTACTTAAGTCCTCTGATTCGTAGGGGTTTTGGAATCCAGAATAGGGATGGGTAGCACCCCCATTCAGACAGGGCTCTTGAGAGGCTCAATGAGATAATGTACTTTTTAAAAAAAAATTTTGAAGTTCTGTGTGTGTCAGCTGTTGTAATTGATCATACGAAATAGAAAGTGATTGGGACCAAAGAGAGACCAACTGTCGCATCATGGACTTAAAGCTGCATGGACCTGTGATCATCTCACTTGTCGCCCCTTCAGCTGAGGCCCAGAGAGATTGAGTGAGGTGACGACCACCCAGGGCTCAGTAGAGGCAGGGCTGGGATTCAGATTAAGGTCCACCTCTGCCAAATCTAGCATTCCTTCCACTGTACCATTTTGCCACTTGTTTTGACATTTATTAGGCACCTATTGGTGTTTGGGTATCAGGAATTCAGAGATGGATATGCACAATTCTTACTTTTAAGGAGCTTAAAACTTAACAGAAGAAAAAATGTATATGCAAACAAGCATACAGGGGAGGATCAGAGGGCCGTTGGAATGTTTGAAGAGGAGGACTGGGTGGGTGGGTATAAGGGAAAGCTGAATGGAGGAAATTATATCTGAGCCAAGATTTGAAGAAATAACTGCTTTGCTTAAAGCCAAAAATTGGACAAAGGCAATGGGTGCCAAATAAATCCAGTTTTAAGTACTTTTTTCTTGCTGTTTCTGTAGAGAAGTTGGCCACCTAGCAACTATGAGTCTGGTAAACTGTGAAGACAGCTGTGGTGCCAACCAACCAGACAGCGACTGTTGTACTGCCATGGCCAGTGCCTGTAGCACTGGCGCAAAGGAGGATAGTGTAAATGGGAGCACCATTCCTGGGAACCTTTCCAGCTCCTTGATGGAAGAGATTCAAGGCTATGATGTGGAGTTTGATCCACCCCTTGAAAGCAAATATGAGTGTCCCATCTGTCTGATGGCATTACGAGAAGCTGTGCAAACCCCGTGTGGCCATCGGTTCTGCAAAGCCTGCATTGTCAAGTCAATAAGGTAACAAAACAGGGAAAGAACTTTTAGTTTCTCAAGAGGTAGTTTTACTGGGTAAGAAGGTGCATGGGTAATGTAGGACGCTGGACAGTAAGCTGAGAAAGCTGGATTCCGTTTCCAGCAACAGTGGATAAGGTAACTGCCATTTCCCCCAGTTTATAAAGCCATTTCTTTTAGATCTTGTTTTGAAAATTGAGAGTAAAATTTCCCTACTCAGAGAAAGTTTTACTTTTTTCTGAGATGGCAAGACCAGAACACAAAATAGTAGCCACAACCTTAGAACACTAGTGAAGAATCAAACTGCTAATGAGCTGTCAGTGTATTTCTTAATATCTGACTCAGCCTGGCCATGTTTATGTACAATAGTAAGAGCAATTTACCCCCACACCCTTTCATTAGTAAGTGGTGCTCCACCTGTAGATGGGATTTCCATGAGTAGATGAACAATCACCTTCTAAGAAAGCTTTCATTTTTACTGCACCTCTGTTCACCAAGGGCAGCTTTAAACACATTAAGAGGTTTCTTTTATAAAAGCTACAGTAGTACAGTGACAGCTGTGGCAAATAACTTACCATAGTTTACTACAAATTACAAGGGATACTTTTCACCACCCTGAAGAAAAATGGATGACTTCATCCTGACCACCACCACCACCACCACCACCACCACCCCCCTCCTTTCCCCCCCTTCCCCTTAAACATTCTTCTAAGATCCATATGAAGTAGTTGAGTAACTGGTATTTGTATTTCCAGGTAAGAGGTCTGCGACATGAGGGCTCTATCCCCCTAGGGCCATAAGTAGTTGATTCAGGAATAAAACCCAGCTCTTCTGAGTTCCTAGTTTAATGCTTCACTGAATAGTTATTTTTTAGTACTTCCAGTCCCCTCTTCATAAGCATAAGCAGCATCTGTAATGTGGATTAAGAAATTGTTTTAGGATATTACTTTGAAAAAGCACCCAGGAAACCAAGCTTGTTGGCTCAGCTTTTGCCTTCCTTCATTGTTTCCTACAATACTGCTTCACATGAGATAGAGATATATAGATATATAGATATATAGATATATATATAGATATATAGATATATCTATATATATGTACACACACACACACACACACACACACACACACACACACACACACACACACACATATATATATAAAATAGAACTAGGGTTTGGTTATTGGGTTTCCTCTTATTAAGTTAGAGATGTGTAAAGTGTCACCAAGTGTCATCCAGGCTTAGAAAACTAGGCAAGCTGAAGCTTTTTTTGGCTTGTTTTTTGTTTAATTAAATTAGTGAGGTTTTCCTACACAGAATGGGACTAGAAAAGGAAACAAAACCCACAAAAGGGAATTTGAGGGTTTTTCTTTTTCTGCATTCCCCTCTAAAACTTCAGCTATCTATTTCCGCTAACATTAATGCTCATAAAAGTTATATTATGTAATGTCATCACTGGCTACTGTTTAGAGTCAGAGGATCTGGGTTCAAATCCCATTTCTGCCATTTCATACTCATGTGACTTCTAGGAAATCACTTCATTTCACTGGGCCTCTGTTTCCTCATCTGTAAAATGAGAGGATGGTACAAGGTGATCTCTAAGGTCCCTTCCAGCTCTGTGATCCCTGTAACCAACAAAGTGTATCCACTCCTCTAAATCTAATTCTGTTTATTTCAAAAGGAATTCTGGTGCCCCAGGTAACAGTTTTATATTTTGTGTAGACATCCTGTATATGATCTAGATTTAGCATCTTTAATTTTTAAAGTATATAAATGTCTGCAATTTCATGCGTCAGGTATCACCTTATTCACTATGAGGGAATCTCAGTGTTGCCTAGATAAAGGGTCCTAGAACATGCATCAAGAACTACTGTGTCTTCAAAATTTGTGATTGGAATGAGTGGGCAGAGGCTAGAACAGGGGTGGGGAACCTGCAGCCTTGAGGCCACATGTGGTCCTCTAGGTGCTCAAGTACAGCCCTTTGACTGAATCCTGACTTCACAGAACAAATCCCCTTAATGAAAGGATTTGTTCTGTAAAACTTGGACTCAGTCAAAAGGCTGAGCCAAAAAACCTAGAAGGCCACATGTGGCCTCGAGGCCACAGGTTCCCCCACCCCTGGGCCAGAAGATAATGATAAGCAGATAAGTAAGGCCAGAAATGGCAACTGCCTTCATAAGTAACAAGGAAATCCTAAAATATAAGGGCTAAGGGTAACCCAAGACATGGCACCAGCAGAGGTACATCCTAGTGATAATGACTCCCATTTACTGCTCACCAGTATTTTCCTCATAACAATTCTGTGAAGTATAACAAGAAGAAAAGAGTCTTTACTCCCCCTTCTCTATCTTGCAAATGAAGAAACTGAGGCCTGGAGAACTTAAGTGACTTGCTCATATTTTTGTGTCACTGAGCGCTAGCAGGATTTGACCTTGCACTGCTGACTCAGATTCATTTCTCTTCCCATTGGTTCTCTTGAAACCACTTCTGTTGCTTGTGTCCAAAGTTTCAATCGTGTTTAAGGTATAAGTAATCACCAGAATGCCCCAGGACACCTCACTGGTTTGATTAGACAAGCCTCGCTTGGGACTTCTGAAAATGCCCTGGTCATATTAAGTTGAATCAGGGACCCTAGAATGTCATTCGACTACTAGGCTTGTTGTGACAGGATAACCAGGCTGTCCATACCGTTTAGATTCATCCCTTTATCTTCTTTAACTGTCTGCCAGTGAGTTTATCCATTTAAGGGTTCCACATCTCTAGTGGTGTCAGACAGCCCCACAATTAAAAAATCCCTTATTGATTTGTACCATGAAGATGGAATGTGATTGCCTTGTTTCCAGCAGTTAGATTATTTTGGTAATCCAATTGGTTATCAAATACTATGTTCTGTAATAGATATTAAATGGAGAGTACACATTTTTTGAATGAGAATTAAGTTTAAATTGCCTTCTAATAATTGTGTACATTTTTTCATTTATTTGTTGTAGAGATGCAGGTCACAAATGCCCTGTTGACAATGAAATACTGTTGGAAAATCAACTATTTCCTGACAACTTTGCTAAACGGGAAATCCTCTCCCTGACAGTGAAGTGTCCAAATGAAGGTTGTCTGCTGAAGATGGAACTGAGGCATCTAGAGGTGGACTGTAAATCTATTTTCTATCCTGTGGTCTTTCCAGAGCAGTTTAGTTTTGGTAACCTTCGATTGTTGGTGGGTCACCACATACACATGGAAAAATTGAGACCCAGAAGTGAAAGTGAAGTCAGTGTTCTTTTCCTCCTCCTGCCATAGATGTTTTTGTGTGATCCTGATCTGCGGCAGAGCTGGCCTAGGCCTTACGAATGCCACTCCTGACTCCCATACCCCCATTTCTGCCACTTTGAAAAAAGGAACCAGTCTCGTCACCAGCACCTTTTGCTGTCATCCCTTTATCATTGTCTTCCTTGTACTTTTCTTTCCAGGGTTTCATAAACTCTGGACTTCTTTATTAACTAGATAGGATATCCCTATAGCTAGCAATTTAAATGAAGTAATGAAACTAATGGTGGCATTTGCTTTTACATGAAGTAGTTTTAACAAGACCACTCATGTCAGTCAGTGGCTTAATCACGCTGCTTATGTTGCATTAGATTGTCCACTTGTCCTTAGAGTATCTCCTTCTTTAGGTAATTCAGTGTGGAGAAGACCTGAACATTGAGAATGCTTTTGTTCTGTGATCGAATATGTGGCAATAGTGATCAAGTTAGAGACTTAGACCTATGATTTCTTGGCGTGAGGAATTCCTGGTCTAGGACTTTTCCTCTACCAACTCAGGTCAGCCGTTTCTCTACCACCTGAAGTCTTAGAGAGTTGCCCACAGCACTGAGCAGTAAAGGGCCCTGCCTAGGGCCATGCAGCCAGTACGTGTCTGAAATCAGACTTGAATCCAGCTCCTTCTGGCTTGGAGACTAGCTCTTTTGCCTCTGCATATATGAACTTGGCCAATTTGTATCTGCCCTGTGCCCCTATTTTAAAATCATCATTATTATTTGAAAGTACTCCTTAAAGCAGCCATATTGTACCATGCTGGTTTACATAATATCTATGTTCTCTCATATCTGAATAGCACGTACATCACCTTGCTGAGATCAGGTGGAACCTTTCATCTTAACAGATATTAATTTTCATTTTGTTCTTCTTACAGGATCACCAGACACATTGTGAGTTTGCCCTTGCAGAATGCCCACAGTGCCACCTTTCCTTTCGGAAATATCTCCTTCACAATCATATGATCATGGAGTGTCCAAGGCGACAGGTGTCGTGTGTGAACTGTGCTGCACCAATGCCATTTGAAGAGAAAGAGGCATGTATCTGCCACATTTTAGAGGTGGCCTGGAAATTGGTGCCTGTCTGCATTTGAGAGGGACTGAGAAGGGATGGAAGTCTTTATGCCATATGGCATCATGAGATAATGAGTGGGGCATTGGACTGGGAGTCGGGAAGATATGGGTCAGATCCAGCTTCTGACACCTGACTGTCTGTGTGGGTGCTGGGCAAGGCCCATCACCTCTGTATAGTCCAGGCAACTGCTTGGTCTTAACTACTGTATCATAGAAAGGTTGCAGTCTGCATTGGTGGAGCAGGCTCCCATAGTAGTATTTCCTCCCACTGATGAAATCACATATTCTTCCTGTATGGGTTAACAGAACTTTTTAATTTCATTACCACCCTGGGCAAATTAGCTTTTAAAGCTTAAGAAGGCTAAAATATGTACTCGCTGAAATGACAGGAAGGTTAAAGATGTATAGATATTAACTTAGAGAAGGCTGTTCATTTGAAACATTTTCTCACATTGAAAAGTTTCACGGGGACAAAGTTGTAGGGAAAGGTGTTCTGATCTGTATTCCTGCCTCTTGTTTTTAAAGACCTGTCTTGGAACTATCTGGGGTATTCAGGGCCAAGTATGTGAAGGTAACCAGAAGAAACATCTCCTGAAAAACAAAAGTGGCTTGGTGCCCAGTTGTTTCTTTGGGCTGAAGCATTTCCCATTTACCTTTAGAGTGCCTTGATGGTGTAAGAGGTTGTTTCTTGACTTTGTGGCACAGAGAGGAGGCTCCTGTGATTGAAGATTACACTGTCAGTGACGGAAGTAGAAACAAGAATCCAGGTCTCCGAGTTCCCCACCACAAGACTAACCTTCATTGAGTTTGCATCATCTTGTAACTCTTGCTATTTATGTAGATCCCCAAGCTCTATTCTTTAAGTATTGTGTGCTGCTCTTTAAAGTGATTGGGGCAACAGAAAGAGGGTCGAACTGGGAGTCAAGAAAATCTGAGTTCAAATCCGGCCTCAGACAATTACTAGCTGTGTGACCCTGGACAAGTCATGTAAGCCTTAGTTTCTTCATCTGTAAAATGGGGATAGTAATAGCACCCACCTTTCAAGGTTGTTGTAAAGATTAAATGAGATAATTCTAAAGCTCTTTAGCACAGTACGTGGTGAAGAGTAAGTGATGTGTAAATGTTAGTTATTATTATGAAATAGAAACCAGTGAAATTAGCTGACTTGCTGAAAGTGGTAGGGAGGAGTCACTTTTGAGTCATAATTGGAGCAAAATCACATCTCTTTCCTTGCCCCCGCGCCTCAGTATACGTAGGACCATCATGGAATGTTGATTCTTTCTCAATATAGTGACTAAATTTAACTTCAGGCATGGGATTTGGTTTTCCAAACTAGGGACTTGAAGATTCTTTGATGAGGGAATTTAATAATGGGATTTGACTTGTAACAGTGGAGATGCAACATTGTAAAACTCATATACCAGGAATGATTCTATTTAATAACCTCTTTTATACAAGGGCCCCAGCTGTGTTTTTAGCTAGTAATTAGCTAGTGAAAGTTGAAGAGCTGTTGCATCTTGGTCAGTATTCTGTTCAGAGAACTAGAACACTAAATAAGTATCATGAATATCCTGGGGAAAATGGAAATGTAAGTTCTTGAAACTATTTTAGTAGTTAATACTACACAAATTTTACTGCTCCTGAGTAATTTGGGCTAGCTGAAAAATCAGCTGCACACTTGCCTAGTTGATAATGGATTGATAAAGTATAGCTTATGCATTTTTTCTTCTTGTCCATAATGCAGTTCCATGACCAGAACTGCCCATTGGCAACAGTCTTCTGTGAATACTGCAACACCATGCTCATCCGGGAACAGGTTAGAGTGACTTCATTCTTTTTCACAAATATATACATTCACTGAAAGCTTCCGGGGGAGGGGGTCTGTGCTATTGAGTTGGAAATGAAATATCAAAAAGTATTTTAAATAGAGATGCTCTGTAGCATGGCAGAGGGTCATGGGAAGGAGCCTGCTTGAGCTGGGTCAACAGTATCAGTCACTTTCTGTGAATTGCTCAGAACTGTGAAGAGGCACAAGACCAGAGAGCCCCAAATCTCTGCCACAAAGAGAAGGCTGAAGTTGGAGTGCCATGATCTAAATTGGAATTGTGGATGTGACCTTGGGCAAGATGCTTCACCTCTGGCCTCAGTGTCATCATCTGTAAAATGAGAGGGTTGGGCCGGATGGTTTATGTGACTACTTAAGGGCCCTTCCAGCTCTTGATTTACATAAGCTGGCTGTGCGCTCGCGCTCACGCGCGTGTGTGTGTCTGTGTATGTCTTCATCTCCAAAAAATTGGTAATTTCTAGAGAAAGGGTTATTTGAACTGAGCATTCCCAGTCTTCAAACACCTAGTCTTTTAAGTTAATACACTAAGAATTTTGTGTCAGATATACCTTTGCTGTGGTATGTTCCTTAGGGAGATAGACTCCACCATAGAAAAAGGAAAGCATAAGATAAAGCAAGTATAGTCAGTTCCACAATTTTCACTCTTTTCTTTTTGACATCACTTGACTGTAGGCCATGAAGCCCAAGAAGAACTTCTAAGGTATCTTGGAATTTATAGTCCATCATGAGTATGTCTTAGGTAGCAAGCTGGGCATCCCAGATGGAATGGGTATGTGGTGGACCAGATAGTATCTTTGACAGTTTGGATGGAAAGTTCTGCCTCATTCCTGGCTTGAAAATTTTGGGCAATTCAACAGCAAAAATAGGAATTATTGGTAGGAATTTTAATACAGCCGTCAAATCTGCCAACACAGAGATCGGCCTGTAGTAACTTGTTCAGCAAGTGCTCGGAAAACTTTCTCAACTTTTTTGTTTGATTGATTGTGCTGCTGAAGTGACCAGTTAAATTTATCTCTAAAAGACAAAAGTGTTCATTTTAATACACTGCGTTTTCCCTGTTTCCCACCTTACAGCCCCCAGTTCCCTTCTCAGAATTTATTCTTTCTTTAAAGCAAAAACGTATCACTTTTGAGATCTCACAAAATAACTAAGGTTGCACCAACCTCAGCTTCTAAATACGGTCTCGGTGTCTTATTTTGGCTTTAAAGCAGAGGAAGAAACCATTCAGGCACTATTCAGAGAAGTCTGTTCTCTGCAAAGCTTCCTGCTGCATGAAAATGAGCATATCAGAAACAAGAATCAGGATTGAGTCTTTGTCATATAGCAAGGAACTCTCTGTCTACAGTGTTGACCAATAGAGCTGAGCAATGCCACATGGCTACCAGCAGGCCCGAGGACAAAGGAAAAAGACAAAAGGGGGAACAGGAGAAGATGGAGGCAAAATGTGCATGTCGGGGTTGGAGGGGGTGGTAGAATATCCCCAACGCTGAATGGCCTTAAGTACTGTTTAGTAGTTGTACTTCATTAGGTGGCCCTTAGCCCTGTTCCATGATTGTACCATACTGATAGCACAGGGTAAATTTCTAGTTGTCATTGAAGTCACTTTAGACAAGTCTTTTTCCTCTGAAAACCACTAGAGGGAAGTCTGTACCAGCAGTAGGACTGAGTTTCTTGTTTTCCTAAAAATTTAATTTGTATCAAATCTGTTGGAATAATATGGGACTTAATACTGCTTAACCTGCAGTGTGTGACTTTGAAATTGTGTTTACTAATAGTTTATTGGAAATTGAAATAGACACTTTAAGCATGATCTGCTCACTGTCTGAAGAAAATCATGTCTTTCAGGGAAATGTTTGTTTTTGTTTTTGTTTTTCCCAGATGCCTAATCACTATGATATAGATTGCCCAATAGCTCCAATTCCATGTACTTTCAGTACATTTGGGTGTCGTGAGAAGGTAAGTTTTGTTTTAAGCATCAAGAAAAACTCTTCTGTTAAATTGTGACATTTATATTACTCAGCAAAGATGCTTCAAAGAAATTTAGTCCTTGGTCATTGGAAGTTCTAAGCAAACCATAATCAGCTTTCAAGAGACGATGGGATGTTGTTGACTTCAGAATACCTGAGGTCCAGTCCTGCCTCTAAAATTGACCAGGTGTAGCCTAGTCACTAAATGTCTCTGAGGCTCAGTTTGCCTCTCTATAAAATGGGGTTAATAATAACTGACACATCTAACTCACAAGGTTGTTGTGAGAGCTAAATGGAGTAGTGTACATAAAATGCGTTGCAAACTGCATAGTAAGAGATGTGTTAGTTATTATTTTCATTTTTACCATTTTATCCCTTTATATTATCGCTGACGTTTCCTCATTCTTTTCTCAGTTTGACTATACTAGTTACTGACTATCGTCAGTTTTTGTTTTAGATGCAGAGGAATCATTTGGCTCGCCACCTGCAAGAGGCTACTCTGGCCCACATGCGAATGATGGCCCAGGCCATCGAGAACATCAGCATGGCAGTTTTCAGTTCCGGGCATGAGGCCCCTCCCTACGATGGGAACTCCGTATCCCGGACGCCCTCAGGATGCCCCCAAGACGTTCAGAACTTCCAGGAAACCATCCAGCAGTTGGAGAGTCGTCTTGTAATACAAGACCATCAAATCCGAGAGCTGACTGCTAAGATGGAAACACAGAGTGCTTGTGTGGGGGACCTCAAACGGACCATTCGAACCCTGGAGGACAGAATTGCTGAAATGGAGGCACAACAGTGCAATGGCATTTATATCTGGAAGATTAACAACTTTGGGATGCACTTGAAATCTCAAGAAGAAGAGAAGCCTGTTGTCATCCACAGCCCTGGATTCTATACTGGCAAACCTGGCTACAAACTCTGCATGCGCCTTCACCTGCAGCTGCCAAGTGCTCAGCGCTGCGCTAACTATATTTCCCTTTTTGTCCACACGATGCAGGGTGAGTATGACAGCCACCTTCCCTGGCCCTTCCAGGGCACGATACGCCTTACTATTCTCGATCAGTCTGAAGCACCTGTGAGGCAGAATCACGAAGAGATCATGGATGCCAAACCAGAGCTGCTTGCCTTCCAGAGGCCCACCATCCCCCGGAACCCCAAAGGTTTTGGCTATGTGACTTTCATGCACTTGCAAGCCCTTAGGCAAAGAACCTTCATTAAAGATGATACCTTACTTGTGCGTTGTGAGGTTTTGACACGCCTGGACATGAATAGCCTAAGGAGGGAGGGCTTTCAGCCACGTAGTACTGATGTAGGGGTATAGTGAATGGCCCTTGGCTTACGAAAACTGAATCTGTCTGAAGTCTGCTGGCTCCTATCCCAGTCACCTTACATGATTCACATCACGGTGGTATGGTCCAGGCTTTATTTCTGGTTGCCTGTGAAGTCAGTTCAAGCGTCTCAGTCCTCTGAAAACCTCTAAGCAGTGAAACACAAATCAAGATGATGATTTTAAAATGTTGTGTTTTATTACTCTAGCATAAATTCTGTATCATTACCTGACAATTTTCAGTCAGCAGTCTAGATCTGTATCACTATCCTAAGTCTTCACTCCTTCTGTGACAGTCTCCATTGAAACAATTTTCCCTTAGAGATGAACACGTGGTCTGCTTCTACAAAAGAATGGAATCCAAGGTGCCTTTCATGTAGTTTAACTGTTTTTGTTAGTCTGAGGATGTCTTTTGTTCTTTCTCAGTTAAAATCAGAAGATCCGCACCAAAGGATTTTCCTATGAACTTTACCCAAAGGATGTTATTTATTGTCCAGAAGTCCTAATAGAGCAATTGAAAGCCTTCTCTTTCTGCTCTGCCCTGGATAATTAGGAATTTCCTTCAAGCCCTATTGTTTTGATGACATTATACTTCAGTGAACTGAGAATCACTACCGCCTTACCTACACCAAAAGAAGAGCTACGTAGAGACTTGAGTTCTCAACATTTTGACCCCCTTTCAGCAGTCAAGGAATCTGAGGTGAAGTTCCCATTTGCTGCTTTTTTTCTCCCAGGGAATTACCAGCTGCAAGCATAGTGATTTTATAGAAGTCTTAGACTCGTCAAAAATTTTTTTCTTCACCTAGATTATATATATTTTTTTATAAAGAACTTTGAACTTTGCAAATGGTCTTTTCCATGCGAATGCTACATGTGAATGTTAGAGACTTTGTTTTGTTGGGATTTTTGTTGTTTTTGGTGAGGCAGTTGGGGTTAAGTGACTTGCCCAGGATCACACAGCTAGTAAATGTCAAGTGTTTAGGCTGGATTTGACCTCAGGTCCTCCTGAGCCTCCTGACTCCAGAGCCAGTGCTCTATTCACTGCACCACCTATGTGCCTGAATTTCAGGTCTTGGTTCTTCAGGGGTCTCAGTTGGAAGGTCAACAAAGAAGACTTGACCGTGGTCTACAGCATTTGATATAGATTCTTCTTTTTCTTTCAATTCACATCTCAGTTCTTTACAATGGTTATGCTAGAGCTTTAAGGCAGTTTCATCTCCTCCAGTGCACATTTCTTTTTTAGGCTCATCATCTTTCATATTTAGCCACTGGATCAGCTCTTCTAAAGAAGTCAGAAAACTATTCCATTTTTCAGCACTGGCCTCCAAGTGAGCCCTGATGCTGGCAGACTTTGCTTTCAAATCATTCCACCTCTGGTTCATATCATCTAGTTGATGTTGGAGCACAGCCACCTCATCTGAATTTCCCAAAGCTTTTACCATATTGTGCCCATTTCCATCAGTATTTTTAAAGATGTCATTGTGGGTATCAATTTCAGCCTGTATGTCCTTGCTGGGCTGGGCTGAAAGCTTCACAAACATGATTAAAGAAGTTTTCTGAATCTGCTTTTTGAGTTCCTTGGCCAAAACAGCATCCTGGAGAGCATTCTCCCACTGAGCTGCCTCTTCAAGCACATTAGCTATGGTTTCTGCCTCTGGCATTCACTTTAGGAAGTTCTCCAGATCTGGGAAGGAGGCCTGCAACCATCCTCAGCCTCGAAGGCAATCTGTTGGTCATGACTACTTTGATTTAGCTTAATCCAGGATGCATTGACACCACTTTCTTTCACTTTGCTTGCATCATCGATACTATAGTTCTGAAGCAAGTTCTTACACAGATTGTCGTAGATTTTCATTGTAGGTTCACTTTTATTTATCTCTTGAATTAGCATTTTATTCTCAGAAAGCTGTTTGATCAGTGGTTCCCTTGAGGAGCTATGCTTTGGACTTCTTGTTGTCTGATAAGCTCTTCAGCTTGGTCAGATCATTCCAGTGTTGACTGCCAGCAAGCATATTGTGGAGCTTTTCCTGACGTGTGTCCACACCAAACTCACTGCTGGCCCATTAGAGTTTGACTTTATTTAATCTTTTTGTTTGTATGTCTGTACTGGAAATATTATCGTTCAAATTCTGAGCCAAAGTGAAAACATAATCCATTTGGGAGGAGACTTTGAAAACTCATTCCTGAATAGTCTTGAGTCTTAATTTCAGTGCATGTTTCCTTGAAGCCACATAAGCACATTTTTTATTTTCTATCTTCTCATATCTGTACTGGTAGGTTTTGGTGTCAAGAACCTTATGGGTAAAGGTCCTTGCATCTTTTTATGATCTATAGCTAAAATGCTGACCCTGCATGCCCATCAGGGGGATCACCTGCTAAACCGAAGTTTGAGGCTAAAACAGATGTGTGTGTATTTGTTGTATGTGATGTATCATACGTATTTCTAAATATATTTATGAGTATATAAACACAATCACAAATTTAATAATAGCCCCAAATTTCGTTGCAGGTACACAGCACCCAAAGTAGTAACATCTGTGATAAATATGGATGCCCACTGCCCAGTTGTGTAAGCCAGTGCTTCAGAGTTATTTTGGGATATTTATAGCTGAATTTTTTACATCCTGACATCCATAAGATGCTGTTACATTTGTGGGGTTTTTTTTTATAATTAAGATGGATTAAAATGAATTTTGGTAATTTTCCAGTACCCTCTTGAGAGACAGCCTGAGAATCACTAAATGGAATTTGTCAATGAAGACAGTTGTGTTGTCCAGTATTTGGAGTGGTTGCCTTAACTCATCAGAACTGATGGGATCTGAATAAGAAAGCTTAAAAATTAACTCAGGATTCATTCAGTATTGCTTTATGTACTCTCCTAGGACAATAATGAAGGGCCTAAGGAGGTCCATATAGGCTACTTGTTTAAATGTGTTCAGTAGTATCTTAGGCCCCCTGGATGTTGAATATTGGAGCAAAATCTAGTTCTGAACATTAGTTGTTAACCACAAGAGTTCCCATTACAAACTACTGATTCTAAGGAGGAACTGAGTAGAGATAGTGTCTTGCTGATGGGAACAAAATGGTGCATTGGAGTAATAAACGTTGGTCAGCTAGGCCACTAGCCACTTTGTATATTAAATTTTCTACGAATCACATATTTTGCTGTTGCCTTTCCTAAAGTAAGGCTACTCATCATTACATATTTTCAAATTATTGTCATCAAGAAACCCCAACAAATGACTACATCCAAAACCCCAGCTTGCTGCCCCCGCCCCTTTTCCCAAGCACCTACATGTGCTAGTTGTGTCTGGAATTTCAAGAAATGGTGACATAGCTCCTTATTTGATCTAACATTTGGGTTTATTGATACTGTACATACCCCCAGTGGACATGGTCATCTAAAAATAATGAAAGGAGACGTGAGCATTCACTGCCACAGCTTGGGTCCCATTTTTGATTTGGCTCCAGGAAATGAAGCCATTCACTTAAACGCTCTTTGGATATCAGCTCTGTCCAGACATAGGTGGACCTCAGCTGGTGGCTGTAGTTAACAAAGAGCTTTGTTGGAGCTTTTTACAGATACCCCAATCTAGGGTGAGCAAAACCCCAAGTGCCTCTGACTGTACCATTCAGGATTAAGCAAGTAAGGATAAAACCAAGGGTTGATAGAATTCCTTTGGTGTCAGGGTAGTGCTTAGACTCATGGATTTACCTGTCACTCTAGCGGCTCCTAGCTATACTTCCACATTGTCCTTTCAGAAGTGGCCTAGTCTACCCAACCTGCATCACCATATAGTGATAAGAAATCCTTCCCATTTCTGCCTTTTGAGCTGACTCTCATAAACAAGAGGTGGCAGGAGTTCTCTCTCAAGAATTTCATATGTGGCTGCCATAGAAAATGCTTCTTAATGATCATCTACCCCCTATTTGTGGTCAGGAGACCAAAATAGTGTTTTTTAAATTTTTATTTTATTAATTTATTTTGATTTATCAACAATTACTTCCATATGCTTTTGAGTTTAAAATTTTTCTCCCCCTTCCTCCCCACCACCCTCCCCAAGACGGTGCACAATCTGATATAGGCTATACATTTACATTCCTATTAAACATTTTCACATAAGTGATGTTGTAAGTAAAAATTAAAACCAATAGGAGGAACCATCAGAAAACTCAACAGAAGAGAAAAAAAATAGCAATTCAACTTCCATAGTTCTTTCTTTGGATGTGGATAGCATTTTCCATCACAAGACCTCTGGAGATGTCTTAGATCTTTGTATTGCTGAGAAGGGTTAAGTTTATCAATAGTAGTCATCGCCCAAAGTGGCTTTTATTGTGTACAAAGTTCTCTTGGTTCTGCTCACTTCACTCAGTATCAGACCATACAAGTCTTTCCAGTGTTTTCTGAAGTCAGCCTGTTTGTCATTTCTTATAGCACAGTAATATTCCATTACATTCATATACCACTGCTTGCTCAGCCATTCCCCAGTTGATGGGCATCCTCTCAATTTCCAATTCTTTGCCACCACAAAAAGAGCTGCTATGAATATTTTTGCACATGTGGGTCCTTTTCCCATTTGTATGATCTCTTTGGGATATAGCCCTAGCAGTGCTATTGCTGGGTCAAAGTGTATGCACATTTTTATAGCCCTTTGGGCATATTTCCAAATTGTTCTCCAAAAAGGTTGGATCACAAAATAGTGTTCTTTTTGAGTTCCAGGCAAACCCAGACCTCTCTCTGACATTTTAATTTTGGTGGTGATAGGAGAGAGAAAGCTAAGTAGAGAGACCACTTCTCTATTGCACCAGCACCAAAACAAAGATTATCTAGATTTCCCTTTATGTCTCTGACACAATTCATGGCTCTCTACGACCACCTGCTCATAGCATTGCTTTGTTACACCTTACCCTGCCTTTGTTATCTATGTATCAAGGAATATAGGTGCTGCACTTTGATCTGTGTCTATGACCGGCTGGCTTACCAGAAGGAAGCATGGCCATGTGTGATTGTTCACTTGTGACAGGATTGCTTGATCTTTTCTTCCTGTCCCCAGAAGACACCAAATGCCAGTTTATTGCCATGACAACTTTGGGTTTCAGTTTCCTCCTCTCTGAAATGAGGTGGTTCCAGTATGTTAGGCTTTCTGTGTATGTCAGGGACCCCTTTTGCAGAAAACCAATTATACTGAATTACAGTTATCAAAATATTTTCTAAAAACCACCAAATTCATGGACTCCAGGTTAAGAACCTCTACAGTTTCTAAGGCCTCTTACATCTAGAAGTCAGTGACTTCAGAAATTAAGTTCTCTCTGACCCTTTGATAGTTCTCATTAAGCTATCACAGCTTTGAAGGAGACTACTTAAATTGGTCAGTTAAACCCAGAGACAATTCTCTTTGCCAGTATTCACAAAACCATGGCTTTGCCCATCAGCTGGGCTGCCTCTTTATTCAGGTGGATGTTCCTTCCCTTGACTAGCTAATTACTTACGCTAGATGTATTTGAGGATCATTACAAAGGCTGATGATAATAGGCATCATCCAGGACAGGAAATCCTCGAACCCAATAAATAACAAGCTCATTTTCTACTTCAGTATTCTTGTGCAAAAAAAAAAAAAGTGGGAGTTTCCTAGTTTGACCAAGTTGGCATACAAAGTAATGGGGCTGTATTGGTGGTTTTTTTACTGACTGGTCACTGCCCTCAGATTTATGCCTCTGCATCATCCTTATGCTACTTCCTCTTTGGAGAGAGTTGCCCAAGCCAGTGTTTATACTCAATCTGCTGTAAGTCACCCATTTTGCTATTGGCTGACAGAGTAGGAGTATAATTACACGTCAGTAAT